AAATGATTAAACGATTAAGAAAAATTTTAGGCGGTTCCAATCCCTAGTTAAATCCCATCCCCTTCGGACAACAACTTCGATGAAATAAATTTATACAATTCAAATAAAAAAAAAAAAAAAGCTCATTAAATTTTACTAGATGGTTATCACATGATGCTTTCAAAGCATCTTCTCTGGTGAAAAATTTAGAAGACTATTATTTCGGAATTGCAAAACACATAGATGTTAGTATGTATTTTATAAGTCGAGTTCTTAAGCATTTTCAAAGAGATGAATGTATTGAAAAACTTCTACAATACATTTTTTATAAATATTAATAAAAATATGATTTTTTGAATGGAATCTTAAGTCTCATCTTTAAACTAGTTGACAAATTCCTGACCATATCAGCATCTACTCATATAATATGTTTACTATAAAATCCTATTTTATATCTGGAGATTATATTTCTTGTCAATATTTAGCCTTTTCTATAAGTTTTTGTACAAACTAAACATACCAAACATTCAATCAAAAATTTAATAACATTAAACTTGTCGATATTTATAATGATAAAATTATTTGTAAAACAGATATATACGTAGCAGATATATAAAATCATTATTTTTAGGTTTAGGTTACAGATAAAGTAGTCTGAGCTTTTATTCTTGCATATAGTTTTTACTTTTTATATTTTTTATATTTAAAAGTTAGCAACTCATTGTAGTTTCTATGTTAAAAATTATTAATAAAGATATAAGCAAGGCCTTACTTTAATACCAAAAATAAAATTATTATTTTAATGTAAGTTATGTATAATATTTACTGTATATATGAAAAAGTGATTTAAATCTATTATAGAAAACATCTCTAGTACCAAATTTATTATTTTCTAAAAACTACTTTCCTGACAGTATCAAAATCTTGACAAGTTAGCCCATATTAGATTAGAGTTAGTGTTATTTCTGGTCAACTTTATCAACTTTTTGTTTAAATTTTATGCTCATTAAGAAACTGATCAAGATCTATAAAAAAGAATATGATTATAATTCCAGATAGTACTTTATCTCTAATTGTAATTTCTATAGTTATAAAATCTTTTTTCTCTAATTTTAACAAATTATCTTTTTTTACTAATTACTATTCAAATTTAACTTATTTCTTGTTTTTCACAACAAGAAGTTCTTGTAAAGTATAATATTAATATTTTTCTTCTTCAATTCAAGACTATTGTATTCAAAGAAAAAAAAAATTTAATTAAAAACAATTAATAAAAATAGATAGGTAAAAAGTAACTGAATAATGATTCTTCGATGATATGAGTGCTACAAGAGATCTGAAAATTATAATTTATTATTTGGTGAACTTTTAAAATAACAAATTATATATTCAAATTTTATTTATTAAAAATTAATAAAAAAATTCATTATATTAATTAAAATTTATACTATATATATAATTATAAAATTAAAATATAATTAATAATAAAATTAATTCTATATTATTTACAATTTTTTATTCTTGTTTATCTGAAACTTTATTTGAAACTTTGACTATCGCTAATTGGTCTTTTTCATGACCTTTACTAGCTTTTTACCTCAAATATCTTACTTTTTTGATAATTTTTCTAATTAAATTTACTATATGATATAACAAAATTTTTATCTGAGGTTATACTTTTCAAATTGGTTGAATATCCTAGATTGGTAACTATTATATCTAGATAATTATCATAGTAGATTTTGATTATTAAGAATAATCACTCTATATTATCGTAACTAACTTTAGAATTTGTATTAAAGTAGAATTTTGAATTTTTATATTTTACAGAAATATTCTTGTCACAGTCAGTGTTAATTGGACTATCAATTGGATTATTAGTTAATTCTTTATCATCATTATTAAAATATTCTTCAACTTTAAACCCAGACATGTTTTAATATATTTTAATAATTGTTTAATTGTATTTGTACTATTATTTTTTTAAAAAAAATAAAAATTATAAAAAAATATAAGCATATTATGCTATCGTCCTGATATTTCACTCAACTCTAACATGACTTATACATATATTATTCACTAGACATATAATGCTTAACAAGTATATATTTATATAATTGTTTCTTTTTTTATTAAATTTTTTCAACAGTTCTTTTTTAGATATTGGTTAGTTGCTATAATCTATTATAAATAAAAAAAATATGTGAAATATGCTGAAGTTTATATAAAATTTTTTGTAAGTATATTTTTTTAAAAATAAGTTAGATGCAAATGAAGTCACTAAATTAAAATATTCTTACAATATTATATATAATTTTTTTTTGAAGTAAACTTATATTAAAAATACAGACTTTCAGGTTTAAAAGTAAATTCAAAAAATATTTGACAGAAAAAAAAACTAATACTGTCTTGAATATATTTAAATAAATAAAAATACATAAAGTTAGATTAAATAAAAAAAAAAATTTATAAGAGTGAATGGGTTTGTAAAAAAAAAAAGTTTTCTAAACAATATAATAATTATATAAAATTTCAAGTATTGAATGAATAAAATTTTGTATGCTATATATAATTTATGTATAAAAAAATTGTACAAAATAAATCTTAGAACAATTTCTCATTTAGAGAATATTAGATGAATTTTTAGTATATTAGAACAAATAGTTTATTTATAATACATAGTGCTTATAAATTGAATTTGATTGGTTAAATTTTTTTTATTTATAAACTAAATATATAGTTTAATATATATAAAGTTTTTGTAATTTTAAGTTTATATTACAATATATTGTAATATAATTATAAGATTGGCTATAGTAAACATTACATACTATGATGATCATATGACCGTGATATCTATGACGATCACGTGATACCGATGAACCCTTTGACCAATGATTACAAGGGTTATTTTTATTTGTTTTATTCTTTAGGGATGTGCTATTTATCATGTGATTTTTACCATGGATACATGGGTCAAGCAGATGATCACATACATATATATATATATAATATAGTATATAATCAAATATAATAAAATATATAATATATAAATTATATATATATTATAAATCTTTAAAATTGAATAACTTTTGATCTACTGGTCCATTTTGGATGATTTAACTGTCAAAATATTTGTTTTAATGAGACGATTCTAATGAATTCAAAATCACTAAAATCTAATTACAGGATCTTGAGATCATTAAGGTTTTTTGTACTATTTCATATATAATAAAATTAATTTTATTATATATGATATAATACAAAAAATCTTAACGATCTCAAGATTCTGTAATTGAATTTTAGCAATTTTGGATTAATTAGAATTGTCTCATCAAGACAAACATTTTGACAGTTAAATTATCTAAAATGGACTAGTAGATCAAAAGTTATTCAATTTTAAAAATATTAAAAAGTTTTTTAATAATTAATTAAATCGGCCAATCAGAATCAAGCTAGATGATCACACCATACATAGATGGGGGTGGCTACTAAGTAAAAAATATTATGTGATAAATAGTATGCCCTTATCTACATATTTATTTATTTATTCGTGTTATTAATTATGCATTAGTTGTCACGCATAGTATCGTTATACATATAATCATTATATATAGCATCGTTTAAATAGTAATTAAATATAAAACAGGTTTGTAACTAGAAGAGAATATAAATAGTTTTAGGGAAATATGCTAACAACTTAAATAGTTAAGTATTAATAAAATGATTTATTATAAAAATATCCTGTAGAAACCTTGTAAAAGGCATCATCCACTGTCTCAAATCCTATTTTATACAAATAAAATACCTCTTCGTCTTGATATTTCTCTCAACAAGGACCTAAACCCACCCTATAACCAAATATTTCAGTTATATTTGGCGACGACGACAGAACCTCAGGTTGCTTATATGGAGAAACTCAATTCGAAGATGGTTCTATTTTATTAAAATTAAGTCTTGATTTATATAACATGTCTTTTAATAGTCTTGTTCTTATGACTATTGATCAACATTTCATCAACATCATTTATTGATATCCTGATATCCTGATGTTCTAATACTCTAAAATAGTAGAAAAAATTAGTAAAGTAAAATGAGCGAAACAAAACAAAGATAAACGAAAATTTATACTTAGCTTCAGATACGCCTTTATATCTTACGTCTTAGTATAACCTCAAGTCTATTAATGTCCAACCAAACCTGAATCTATTTTATTGCACCATCGTCTCTTATCGTACCATTCTAAGTAGATAGAAAAAAAAAAAATTAGTAAAGATTCAAAAAAAAAAAAAACAAAATCAAATAAGATAAGCAACTCTATACTTATCTTGCAATTCAAAAGTCCATCAGGAGTTACTAGAGAAATCCAACACCGAGAAATAAACCTAAAATAAAAATAGTTAGTAGGATTAAAATAAAAAATTAAAAAAAAATTGGGTTCACTTATATTTGCAGACTTGGGACTTTCTGATACTAAAGAAGATGATAAAATCTATAGAGTTGTACCATATGTTGCTCTAAAAGTTTTACAAGGTTAACAATTTACTTCAGAAACGGATATCTATAGTTTTGGTATTATCACAACAAATAACTGTCAAAAAAGAGCTTTCGATAGAAAATGACCTGAAATTGCTTCTGGAACTTCTTATTGTTATATTGGCCAAATGATAACTTAACTCCAAGACTTAATTCAAGCCAGAAATTCTAAATTCTATTCTTCAGAAAACCTAGCTCTCTTAAATCCCGATTTCGGTATAATAAACCTAGAAGAAAAAAAAATAATTAGTATAATACCCAAGAAATAAAATAAAAAATAAAAAATAAAAAAAAAATAGCAAAAATATACTTATTTTACAATACTAATCCCAAATCTTTATTCAAGCTGAAGTTCTATACCCAAGTTCCAAATTAAACTAAAATCTCGTATCCCATCTTTCAAACAACTTAGTTTTTTCAAGTTTGCAATTCTGACAAGCCTTATGTAGCTCAGTCCTGACGTAGTTAAAAGAATCTCCACCTATCATACCAACTAAGGAACCTCAGAATTCTGCCTTGGTTCAAGAGCCACAAGAAAAAGAAAACAAGACATCCCTTATCTGAAACAAGAAGGCATCTCGGTAAAAATTCCCACAAGAAAGACCCGAAAAACTAAAGAATTAAAGATTAGTGAAGATCAGTAAATGAGAAGAGAAAAAAAGAAAGAAAAGAAAATACTTATCTAAAAACGAAAACACGTTGCACTACCTGCTAGAAGCAAACCGTTAAAAGAATAAAGCTAAGTGAAAAAAAAAATTAGAAAAATTTTCAAATTAGTGGATGATCAACCAACGACTATATATGATGATCATGTGGGTGACATTACAAGAACAAGACAGAAGAAGACCATTTATGTACATACCTGGCTCTATACAATTCTGAAAATGAATCTAGAAGCTGACCTGATCCCATGAAGTCCGAAAGAACCCGTAAAATGATACCAGAAAGAAAAGAAGCCTCTAGAATAAATAAATAAATTAGTATATAAAAGTAAAATAACAAAAGAGAGATCAACTATTACGCCCTAATTCTGATGTGAGGTCAAATAATAAAAAATATATATATATATATATAAATAAATTTAGAAATCTGAAGTTAACAATTTAATTTTATTTAGAATTTATAGTTTTTTTTTTGTTTAAAGTTAAAGTTTG